CCCCCTCTTATTATGTTGATGATGGCCATGCAGTTTACTAAGAGTGAGAGATCTTTATTTTACGTTTCGATTTGTGCTTTCCTGAAAAAAAATTGTCTAGAGGGGTACTCCGAAAAAAAGGAAGACAAGGTATCGAAATCATTTGCAGTATGTCTTGAAAATGATCCACATTTGTTGGAAAATGAACAAAATTCAGAAAACTCTTTTGATCTATCTTCATTTGATACAAACGTGTACAGACTCGGCGAACTAAGTGTTGTGTTTTTAATGCCGTCCAGTATAGATCAATATGTATTATATAACTACTTCACACCTTCTCAAATTGTGATACTCAGAAACTAGCCTAGAGATTACTGTGGAATTGTCACACGTCTCGTGAACCCAACGTTGTTCATGAATTGTGCTTACGAACGTGTCACGGAGTTTCTATTTTGATTTGTTTTGTTTGTCTTCCCCCTCAGGAAATAAGTTATGTGGTTTTGTTTGATTGTTTTTATTTAGTATTTTAAAGCAATGGGAACAGATTTAAAAAGAAAACAACACACATCAGATGAACTCATTAGATCAACAGCCGTATCACAAGGTATGAACAGACAAGTTCATGCGCACGAGACCGCGAGATAGCAACAGCCACTATAAGGACATAGGCCGATGCAAGCACAATGGAGCGCACCATTTTGACCAAATTTGGAGCCAAATGAGGTCAAGGGAAAAAGGTGAGTTCCTTTTGAAATAAGAAAGCTGTCCCACGGAAAACCGGAAAAGGTCCATAAAAGCAACAATCTTTGTCCTATTATAATAAAAATGTAACACATTATACCTCAACATGTGCTTTATTTCTCGATGTAATCACAATCCCGCTGGACACATTTTTCCCATTACTGGATCAGGGAGAAGATACACTCCTTGGAGAATTTTTCGTCAAGGGATTTCAACCAATCTTTAACGGCTTCCATGAGGTCTTCGTCGTCGGTGAATAGCTGTCCAGAAATAGGGCGTTTCATTGGTCCAAAATGGTGATAATCTGACGGGGCCAAGTCAAGACTGTGAGGGGGGTGTGGCAGAACTTCCCAGCCGAACCTTTGGATCCAGTCTTTCGTAGTGTTTGTGGTGTGTGGTGTTGCGTTGTCATGCTGCAAAGTGACCCCGCTGGACAACTGGTCTGGTCTTTTTCGGCGCACAACCTCTCTCAACTTATCAAGAGTCTGGCAGGGTCTGTTAGCATTAACAGTTTGTCCTGGTTCCAGAATATCAAAAAGCAGAATACCCTTAGCATCCCAGAAAACCGTGCAGTGAGTTTCTTCACCGATGGCTGAACTTTAACCTTTTTTCGGGGGAGGTGAAGACGTGTGTTTCCAAACCATTGAATCTCTCTTCGTCTCAGGGGCCATGTGGTGTATCCAAGTCTCATCACCTGTAATAATGCTTCTCAGGAGTGCTTCATCGTATTGTTGGAGGTCTCCTGATGCGTTCATGACTCCCTTGACAGCTTGGCGACAACGATTCAACAAAGTCTGAGACACTTCATCACGTTGCATCTTGTGGTCAGCTGTCAGCTCTTTCGTGACCCATTGAGCGGAGACCTTTCGATAGTGCAGCTCATCAAACACTATCCTATGGACAGTCGACTTTGAAATATTTAACGATTCGGAAGTTTCGCGATTTTTTTTACGCCTGTCTGTTTGAATGAGTTCGTTAACGCGGCTCTTGTTGTCCTCAGTCTTGGCAGAAAAACAAGGTCCTGGGTGAACTTTTTCATTGACATCCGTATGCCCGGCTTTGAACTTACTACACCACTCATATACCTGTGATTTTGCCATTACTTTCTCCCCGTAAACTGACTTTATTTCAGTGTGTATTTCTATTGGTTTGAGACCTTTTGCGGTCAGAAACCGAATGACTGACCTCACTTCTACCCTTGACCAGTTTTCCAAGGGGGTAGCCGTTTTTGGGGAACTGCTGTTTTTTGTTTGTTTTGTGCGATGCTCGTGGTGCTCAATCGGGAAATTCCTTAATGATTGTTTTACAATTGTGCGTTTACAGAATGTGAAAATATTGAATAGTTTTCAAATTACAGCCAAATTCCGGTTTTCCGTGGGACAACCCTCGTAATTTAAATAATATCCGATCCCCTTTAGCCCTGTTGATCAGGTAAACGTAATGCATTATTTTGCCAGGTAGTGACTGGACGAAATAAGATTATGGTTTTTAGTTGCATCGAAAACAAACTGGTCTATGAATGTGAAACAAGTTCAACTCAACCAAATACACCTAGATCTACATGATTTTGAGAAAGCTTTGTTCTGCCTCTACTGTCATTTTAGACTGGGCTGATTAACTGCCTTACAAAAAGGGGTTGGAGATGACTTATTTACACACATTTCCCTTTCAAAGGATGCTTCAAAAGGGTGCATCAAAGAAACTAGGAAACAAACAAATTAATGAAAAACGATATTAAAAAATCAAAACATTTTTTCAGCTCGAAGCCCAAATTCCACTTCCCTGTGGTAAGCTTAGGGAAGCAAATACACAGTTGACCGTCACAATCACAAAGTTTATCTAAGTCAAAAGACTGCAAGTGATGAGCGGAAGAGGCAATGAAAAAAATTGATTCCAAAATCAAAGTAAGAAATCGGCCCGCATAACTGGTCCAAAAGGGAATCCTTTCTCGGGGAATACATGCCTTACGTACTCAATGATAACGAGACTCGTGTTATGCGCTTCATTTGGGCGCTTTTGAATAGAGCCATTTACAGCGAAGCAAAAATCGTAAGCTACGACGATGCCCGTGTAGAGCATTGATTGAAGTCTATGCCCGCACCGCACAGCCTCGAACTAGGTGCCCACTTCATCACTCAAGATTGCAGCCGCACCAAAGCCGAAACAAGTTCCACTGGGCAAAGGAACATTTAAGTTGGCCTCGTCGTGATTGGAATACGCGCGTGTCCCCAGATGAGTCAAGATTTCTGTGGAAACGATATGACAGAACAATGCTTGTCAACCTTTTTTAATGTATAGCCAGCACCCACTTTTGCAACTTTTAAGCGCGGAAAGTGTTCGTTCAGCCCGCCTAAATGCATTTCCAAGAGGGGCATTAAATTTATACCTGTGACTACTGGATGATTCTCACCACCCATCAAAATTATCAAACCTCTCACTGGTGGGCTATATTGCCCAGGTTGGCAAACATTGCAATAAAAGGACCTAATGAGGTCCAGCGTCCATCAATCCTGCTAGAAACTTCAGAGTAGGCAGTGTCTTTTTATGGGCTATGATCAGTTCAACTGGGAGCTGGGTGGCTGGTGGGTTCTCTGGTGTGGTTTGCTCCTTTTTTTTCCCTATCAAAAATGTATCGGCGTTATCTGTCCTCCTTCTTTATCTTGTTTATTTCTCTTTAGTAACACCTCTAATCATATACCTAATATGACCTAACTTTTTACAAGTGCCACAAAACCCTGCCGTGCAGTCCTGGCATTCTGAAAAATAGGACTGACGTGGTGCTAGCGTGTCGTACGAGGCGACTAAATGGCGAAACAGGTTGTGGCACCTGAAACAGAGTCATCCTACCTCCAGGTTGGGGGTTGAGTTACGAGGTAAACAACCTCTCTCGTAAAAAGAACCTGTTACATAAACACATACAAGCAAAAACCATTATCTCTGCTTGGCTGGTAGTGAATCCTCTCCGAATGGAGAGTCTATGACGCGAGGCAGTGAAAGCCGAAAGGAAGCTA